ACCCTCCCATTTCAAAGCAAAGCAATGTTTACAAATTTTGCACATTGTCCCAAATCTATGTCTATTCCCTTCAATGTTCTCTTCTCCTTCCACCCCCACCCTATTCTCATTATAAATGTCTATATTACAATGTCCTAATCTATAAAATTGTTCAATGGTCTTTTCTTTCTTCTCCCAGTATCTTTTCCTTGCTCCTTCTCTTTTCTTCTCCTTCACCTTTTCTATTTGTTCTGGAGTTTGTTTAGCTCTAAATCTTTTTTGTTTTTCAATATTTTTTGCTTTAGAAGCTGCTCTTGTTCTTGTAGCAGGTCCTGATATATTAGAAGATTCTGTTTTATCAGAAGATTCTGTTTTATCAGAAGTTTCTGTAAAAGTTTCTATTTCTTCTTCTTCTATTAAGACTTCTTTTTCTTTTTCTCCTTCTATTATTTCTTCTTCTTTTTCTTCTATTATTATTTCTTTTTCTGTTTCTTTTTCTTTTTCTTTTTCTGTTTCTTCTTTTATTATTTTTTGTATTTTAGATCTTGTTCTAGAAGATATAGAAGATTCTTCAATATTTTCTTCAACAATTTCAATAGATTCTGTAACAGATTCTATTTCAGATTGTTTTTTTTCAGATTGTTCTTTTTCATATTTATCAAGAAGTCTTTTTTGTTGTGCTCTTCTATTTTGTAGTCTCTTTCTTTTATCTTTATCACTTTCTTTATGAGAAGGAGCAGGATATAATCTGTCAAGTTCATCTTCTATTTCTTTAGGTACTAATTTTTTTGGTGGCATATTTTGCTTTCTTTTAAAAAAAAAAAATAAAAAATAAAATATTTAGTCTTTGCTTAAATAAACTTAAAATAATTTTTTTAAATAAAATTTTAATAAAATAATCATAAAATTTTTATCCACTTTAATCTTAGGCTATACAAACTGAATTTTTTGGTTCTCATAACATACAATTTATATTTTGACCCGCCAACCCGGATTTTTATTTATAAATTTAAAAATTTTTTGATTTAAAAATATATGCATAAAAATTATAACCCGGGACCCGCCAAAATATTTTATAAAATAAAAATTTTTAAATAATTTTTATTATAAAATTTATTTTCTTTTGCTTACAATATTTTATATAACTAAAAAAAAAAACAATCCTTTGATTTACTAGTTCTAATAAATACTTGAATAAAATTTTCCAATCATATGTTATATACTTTCCTCTTAATTACAACCGAAGTTGAATAGAACAACAAAAAAACCACCAAGATTGAATTACATAATGGAGCATACGTGTTTGGCACTGTTACGAAAAGGAAGGTAGAATAGTAATGGCAGAAAAAATTCATAATCAGGTAACTCCCAACATTTCCAAATCTTTTCGGAAGCCATATACATTTTTCTCTACAAATTTCATGAATATGAAAGTGATAATTGATTAGAAAAGTTAAAGGATAAGTAGTCCGGAAGGTCCAAAGATTTTCCAAAATTAAGTCAGCAAAGGTTCATTTTGGAGAGGCCCCCGTAAATAGTTCAGGAAAAATACCATTTTTCGCATGAACAATTATCTGATATATATGTCATATAGTTTTCTTACCTTTCTATCATATTGGTCGGAAGCGGCCAATCACCTGGTCGCGAATTTTTTTTTGCCACCATTATTCTTTGTTCCTTCGAATTGCATTTAGAGAAGTTTGGCCGCTCTATAAAAAAAGCTTGTACAGTTATTGTAGGCATTGTCCAAAAAAATGTTCGGAATGGAGTCGATTTTCCGAACAGGGTTTATGCTTGTACTGTTTTCATTACGATGTACGGGATGTAAAAATATTGAAAATTATCGTATAAAAAACGCATAAAAAACGTATAAAAAACATATAAAAAACGTATCATCCAACAAACTTCCTTTAAAATGTTCGGAACGAAGTCGATTTTCCGAACAAAAAATTGGATAATTTCAAAATTTTCTGAACGAATTTTTTTTATAGGGCCGTTTAATGCAATTATAATGGTAGTGGCTTTCAGAATGAATTGGACTTTCTTCAGTAATAGACTTAGTTTCAAAAAATTGTGATATTAAGCAATTGAAACACATATAGGTCAGTACTAATATTGTAATGGCAGTACTAATCGAACATGTGATTCAATATAATATCTCAAATTTCTAGAGTTTAAAGTTTAGCATATTGGCGGATTTGCGGAATTGGTCCTGGATCGATCCTAAGATGTATCCTCCATAATACCCCGAATTTTAGTAGCAAACAAATAAATTTTTTTATTGTATGTATGTACATACGTACGGACATATAAAGATAATTTAAGGGGTAAATAGATACAATTACACGTAGTATAAATATATATTGAATTGTTACCCCTTAGTGTATTGACAAAAAGATCATACTAAAATTATATATTCACGATCAATTTAATTGTTAACTATTATAGTATATGAGTGACACCAAGAAAAAATGTGACTTTAATCATACAAAGTTTATATGATCGAAGTCACGTTTTCTCTTGTCACTCGTATTTTATCTATATTATATATTAACGTCTTTTCAAATATTTCTAGTGCAATAATGCTATATTGCTGAAATATCACAATGGAGAGCAAACGAAAGATGTGAAAGGACAAAAGAATCTTTTGTTATCGTTGTTATAATTTACTTTACTATGATCGAATGACTAGTGATACATGACAAGAATTAACTACTGATAAATCAATATTGTTATTTTTGAAAAAGAAGGATGATGCTATAATCGTTATAAGTACTATTTATTCCCCGGGACGGTGGGAATAATGAAATATTTCCCAGTGGTATATGTGTGAGGCGCTTTGCGCCCTATACATACGCCGCTAGGGGAATATTTCAATTATTTCATCGGCACGGTGGAATAAATGAGTTATTCACCGTCTCATTATATTCGCATAATAGTGATTTATATTTTATTAATCACAATTTTTATTGCAAATTTTTTTTTTTATATTTTCTTATTTGTTATTTCTCTGAGGTGATAACAAATAAGAAAAAAAGAAAAAAATTTGTGATTAATAACACATAAATTCCCGTCATGCGATCATAATGAGACGGGGAATAATAGTTTTTAAAATGCATGGTAGTTGATGGTGGCGATATAAAGCGATATTCATTAAATTTTAAATAGGAAAATGAAGACTCAATTAAATCGATTAATATAAATAATACCGTTAGATTCGAACCAAATAAAATAAAAAAAAAATCTACAGTTTTTTTTCATTTCATTTTTATTTTATTAATTTTTATTCAAACGGAAAGCTTTAAGGTCAGTAACAATTTATAAGCTGTTATTATATACATTTACTGCATTTTTAAAAGTATTGATTAACAAAGTAAAAGCCAAAAGCAAGCTAACTAATGATTTATGTTAAATGCAATGATTTATATCCTGATGTATTTGTTGAAGGTGAAGATGGTCCTGATTGCGGTTGAGGCTGTGGTCCAGGAAAAACAAGTTGCTGCTGTCGACGATTGCGTGAAGAGTTTAGCTCACGTTCTAAATCATTCGCATCATCTAAAAAAATAATAATAATAATAATATATTTTAAATCACAATTCAAGAGACTCCAAAAACTATAATAATTACTTACTTGGTCGCTTCCAAAAAAAAGTTTTAAATTCTTCAAAAAATAAACGCCCTAGGAGGGAACTACTGCCTGCATCACCTGCACGATACTTTCTCATTTGCTAGAGAAAAAAAAACAAAAAAAAAAAAAACAAATATATATATATTAATAAATTTGTGAAATTGATTTATAAAATATCATTTAAATCATAATTACTTACATTAAATTCCTTTACCAGTTGCGAAAATTTATCCTTACAATGTTTACTTGTATAGGAAGTATTAAAACGATCATTTACTCGATTGGCTACACTTTGCCAAAAGGCATTTTTTTTAAATGTTTGGTGGAATTCAGCGTTACGTCTCTTTCTTTCATTAACCAAAAGTTGGATTTCTTCGATCTGCCACATTTTCAAATAAGGAATATAAGAAAAAAAAATTGAAAAAAACTTTGCTTATTTATAAAACTGAAATTGTAATTACAAATGTATATGTAATTACATACTTAACATTTAGCATTAACGTTAGATACGTATGTACATATTAAAGAATTTGTGCGAAATATATATATGATGTAATGTCATAATTACATGATTAGATTCGATATATGTTACGTGGAATATATTGCATATGTCGATATGTTACTATACTGTATACTGATACGTATACTTAATATAATCATGTAATTGCGGTTTATGTGTCTTACTAGAGATGGAACCAGTTTATTTTTTCATATGTAAAACCAGTTTAAATCGGTTTAATATATGAAAATAAAACTGGTTTCAAACTCTAATAAGAAACGTAATAGAGAAATTATTTTTAACATACTATCATGGGGTGTTCGATATACTCTATAAATCAAAATTATATGTGATCATATAATAAAAATTTATTAACGAAATTTTTTACATGGATAACAAATTATAATAATTACAATTTTAAATAAATATAGCCCTAATGGTTCGATAGTTTTGGATAAAAGAAATGGCACTATACACGTAGTTTTGTAGTAATGTAATACTGGTCTTTCAAATTTTATTCAAAACCATCGAATCATTAGGGCTATGCATCTATATAAAATTTGTAATAAAATTAAAAAAATTCATTAATAAATTTTATTATATGACCACATATATATAATTTTGATTTACATAGTATATCAAATACCCCAACACACTCATCGATCTAAATATTAAATATGCTAATTCATAAATATTCACTATTAATTTCATTTTATTTATTAATTAGTAGCTTAATTAGTAGCTTAATTAGCATATAAATATAGAGAACGTTTATTAATTCAAGCATTCAAAAATAAGCTATTAATGTTTAGATATTTGCTAATTATGATTTATATTGGCCATTTTTAATGATTATTTACTATTTAGCTTTAAATAAGTTTACTTAATTTCATTGATATTAATTAGAATTATAAGGATAAACAAAATTTATTTTTAATTTATATTGACTTAGCACATGAGTATAAGCACGTGAGTATAAGCAATTATTAATTGAGATCATTTAAAATAAGACATATAAATTCATGAATGTCTATAGTATAATTTTATTTTATTTCACTACAGTCGATGAATATAAAAATATTTGTGAATCTAAAAATTTAAGGTAAGTTATTCGAATTCATGAATATTTCACTTAAAATTTCATTTTATTTAGCACGTGAGTATAGGTATTTATTTATCAAATCATTTAAATAAGCTATCTAAGCTTATGAGTATCTATTGTTTAATTTCATTTTATTTCACTATAGTTTGTGTGTATAAATACAATTACCGTAAACTGCCATATACAAGATCCCCCATATATCAGACCCTCCCTCATTTTTTACTAATTATTTTCTTTTTTTTACTAATTAATTTTTTTGGTGAAATGTAACAGACCGGGTCTTGTATATGGCAGTTTACGGTATTGTTCTAAGAAACTAAGTTAAGCTATTCGAGTTTATAAATATTTTTTATAATAATATTTTATTTATATTAATTTGGCACGTGAGTATAAGTATTTATTTATCGGATCATTTAAAATAAGTCATCTAAGCTTATTAATATCTATAGTTTAATGTCATTTTTATTTCACTACAATTGAGGAGTATGAGCTATTTATTAATCTAAGAATTTTGAAGAAAGTTATTCGAATTTATAAATGCTTTGCTTTTAATTTCATTTTATATTACACGTGAGTATAAGATATTTTCGGATCATTAAAATAAGCTATCTAAACTTATGAATGTCTATAGTTTAATTCATTTTGTTATTTCTTACAATTAATAAGTATAAAAACATTTATTAATCTAAAAATTTAAGAGATTCGAATTCATAAATGTTTAGCATTTTAATTAGAACGTGATTACAAAATATTTATTTATCAGATTATTTAAAATAAGATATCTAAGCTCATTTATGTCTATAGTTTAATTTCATTTTTATTTTATTACAGTTGGTTAGTATATAAACATATATTAATCTAAAAATTTAAGGGTAAGCTATTCGAATTCATGAATATTTATAATTCTATTATATTAATTTAGCAATTGAGTATAGGTATTTATTTTTTATCTGGTTATTTAAAATAAGTTATCTAAGCTTAATGTCTACAATTAATTTCATTTTTTATTTCACTATAGTTTGTGAGTACAAAAATACTTATTAATCAGATTGTTTAAAATAAGCTGTTTAAGTTCATGTATATAATTCCACTTTGATTTCACTATAGTCGATGAGCATATAAACATTTATTAAAGAATTTAAAATAAATTATTTGAGTTCATGAATATTTATAATTTTTTATTTAATATGTGAGTATAAGTATTTATTTATCGGATCATTTAAAATAAGCTATCCAAAATTATTAACATTTATAGTTTAACTTCATTTTTATCTATTGTTATAAGAAATTAAGCTATTCAAGTTTGAGTATGTCATTTATTAATCGGGTCATCGAAGTTTAATTCCATTTTTATTTGGTGAGTATAAACCATTTATTAATCTAAGAATTTATTCAAATTCATTTTATTTATATTAATTTAGCATGTGAGTATGAAGTGTTTATTAATAAATTCTATAGTTTAATATACTACTTAAATCTTTATTCTTAAATCTTTTATTCGTATTAATTATACATTTATTACTTAAATCTTTTTATTCTTAAATCTTTTGTTCGTATTAATTATACATTTACTACTTAAATCTTTTATTTTTAAATCTTAATATAATTTAGTCTTAAATATAAAATTATTTAAGTTCAGTATTTACTATTTAATTAAAGTGCATTAGAGCATGAGAAATATCTGCATTTCTAGTAATAACTTTAGTTATATACTTTAAATCATTTTAACAGACTAGTAGAAAGGAGCTTACTATTCACAGTTTAATAAGCTTTTTACAAATTGAGACTCACCTTTATTCTTCCTGGGTTTCATCTTTCCATACCGGTAATAAACTTTGGTCATACATTGCTCAAGTCTTCAGTTCACCATAATCTTTAGAAAAATTATTAAAAATTCTAGTTATAGTTTACTATAATCTTTAGAAATATTATTAAAAATTCTAGTTATTTTTAGTTATCCTGTAATTATCATGCCATATAGCTTGAATTAGGCTAACATTCGAAATTACACCCCTATTTGCTATTTCGCGGTTATACATGTATTATATAAATAATATTCTATGGTTTTCTTATGATTATCCTGTGCAATTTGTATTATACAATGTATAATCTAGTATTAAAAAAACCCCCTGTAGTTGTAGTTTTTTTTTTATAGCTATATATATAATAATACTAAAAAAAATCTAGTTCATAATTAACTGGTTGGGAGAGCAATGAGCATGATCGCACAGTTTAGCTCCAGTCGCAACTGTAGAGTAAAATGACAACGTTACTCATCAAAGCAGAAGAAAATAATAATTATCTTATAGTTTTCCTATATTTTTCTTATAGTTTTCCTATAGTTTTCCTATAGTTTTTCTATAGTTTTACTATAGTTTTTCTATAATTTTTCTATAATTTTCCTATAGTTTTCCTATAATTTTCTTATAATTTCATGGTTTTTTTATAGTTTTCATGTAGAGTTCTTATAGTTTTTCTTAGTTTTTTTAGTTTTTCTATAGCTTTTCCTACAGTTTTCATATAGTTTTCCTATAGTTTTCCTATAATTTTCCTATAATTTTCCTATAGTTTTCCTATAGTTTTCCTATAGTTTTCCTATAGTTTTTCTATAGTTTTTCTATAGTTTTCCTATAGTTATATATAGTTAACAATTAAATTGATCGTGAATATAATTACGATCTTTTTGTCAATACACTAAGGGGTAACAATTCAATATACATTTATACTACGTGTAATTGTATCCCTTAAATTATCTTTATATGTCTGTACGTATGTACATATATACAATAAAAAAATTTATTTGTTTGCTACTAAAATTTGGGGTATTATGGAGGATACATCTTAGGATCGATCCAGGACCAATTCCGCAAATCCGCCAATATGCGTAACAATCCAATAACATTCAAATGCCTTTTTTCATTCTTGGCTATGCACATGCCATTTTTACAGCAGATTCCAAGATTCAAGCGTCCATTCGAATTGCCACCTTCAGCGATTTCAAATACTATTTCAGACATAATGATCTCTCGTGATCAATCGAATATCGTGACCGCGACCTAACTCAAAAGTGTCATTCTTTATTATTTTAGTATTGTTTGTTGTGATAGGCCTCAGAAGTATCATTCTAAAAAAAGAAATTATTCATTTTAATATTGTTTGTTGTGATAGGCTCATTATTTGTAGCGCAGTCTGGTTATTTGTTATTTAGGGCGTGGTTATTTATCGCATAATCTGGCATAAGATTGAACCAGAATAGTGGGGCTGGTTTAAGGTGATGTTACGCGAGAAAAAAACAAAAAGAGTGTGTGTGAAATATGAAACACATATAAGTCAGTATTATTACGCTGTATTCTGTAAATAACAGTATTAATCGAACATGTGATTCAATATAATATCACAAATTCTAATAACACTCAAATGCCTTTTTTCATTCTTGGCTATGCACATACCATTCTTATAGCAGATTCTAATATTCAAGCATCCATTCAGATTGCCACCTTCAGCGGATTTCAAATACCATTTCAGACATAATGATCTCTCACGATCAATCGAATATCGTGACCGCGACCTAACTCAGAAGTGTCATTCTAAAAAAGAAATTATTTTAGTATTGTTGTGATAGGCCTCAGAAGTGTCATTCTAAAAAAAGAAATTATTCATTTTGGTATTGTTTGTTGTTTAGGACGTGGTTATTTATCGCGTAATCTGGCATAAGATTGAACAAGAATAGTGGGGGCGATGTTACACGAAAAAAGCTAAAAGAGAATAAGTCAGTACTAATCAAAAC